CGGATCCTAAGTGGAGAGGAATTATTTTTGCCTCTTCTTCCTCCTCCTCCTCCGCGTCCTCCAGTGCGCTTGTCACGCGTTTGTCTTCTTGTGCCAGCAGTCAGTGGGCACCTGTGGGTGTTTATTTATTTATTTATTTGGAACTTTCTGATGACAAAGCAGCAGGAAGCGTTTGGCCTTCTTGCTGCGTTGATATACTGTACTGAATACACGTAGTTGATTCCCGGTGTGTCAATTCCGGCGCCACGTGTTGGACTTGAGTCGTAAATGTACAATTTAGCAGCATGACACTGACGTGGCGTCATTGATGAGCTTCTATTGTCACCAGAATATTTACACAAGTATTTGTACTTGTACTGGAGCACAGAGCCTGAGTACTTTTGCCAACTCGGCCACCGACCCGGTTGGAGCGTTTGTGTTCTGCTTTGCTATCGAATCGGAAATCAATATCAAGAGAAGACAAGTTCACTGACTTCAGATTTTTATTTGATGTTCAAGTGTTCTTCCTCACAATTCCGCCCCTTTCAAACTGCCCCGTTACAGCGGTACTTCTCCCGTGTATGAAACCCGGATATTCTCCGAGTTAGTATCAGAAGCCTAATGAGCGTTAAGGTCAGTCCTGCAAATTAAATGTCATCTTAGGTAATATCAGAGATGGAATGACGGCTGTGTGAAAGGGGACAGCAGAAAGGAAGGACTGCCATGTCACTTCTGCTGCCTTGTGTTGAAAACACTTATCGCTGCCCGACAACGATTTCAGATGTCACAACCGATGCTTCTCTTGCACATCGGAAGCTGGCAAACCCGCCCCGCTTTCCGTATCACTACCTTTCACGCAGATTAGCAAAGTCGTTGTACGTTACCTTCAAAGCCAGCCGGCGGCTGTGTGAAAGGGGCATTTTATGGTTTACTGAGATTAAATTGGAGTTGTCCTGCTAAGTTTCTCGCTAAGTTTCTCGCAGGAGATCAAATTGGACTCCTCTAATGACAAAAAAAAAAAAAAAAAAAAAAAAATGCAACACCCCGCCTCTTTGTCCTCCTTTTCGTTAGCGTGCAGCGTTAATATTTCACAGCGCCTCATATGTTCTGGCAGCCTGATGGCCCAACGGCTATACCCGTCGTCGTTGACTTATGGATGAGCTTGGGTCACACCGG